CGCCGGTGCATTGCCATTGCGACTTACCTATAATGAATTTACAGCTGAGAGCAGGCATTTCACTAGTTGGATGTGTCAGCGTCACGTTTGCATATGGCCGTACTATGCCGTCTGACAAACTATATTTTGTACAGATTTTATTTTGGCAAGTATTTAATCATTTTGCCCAGAGAAAAACGTTGGATTATGCAACAGACATACAACTCGTTGTCTCCATGTAGTTAATTAATAAACCATCGGTATCGGCCCTTTTCATGCTATTTCCGATATGCAGATGGCTTTAAAATAATAAAAAATCGGCCGATAAATATCGGCGGCCAATTCATCGGTGCATCCCTATTAAGAATCATACCATACCATCAGATGAATATCCCGTCAGTCCACCAAAGATCACCAGGACGTAACTAACATCCAGTTCTCGCATAATCTCATAGGCTTTCTCCTCAGTGGAGGCCATAGCCTGCAAAGAAGAATTTTTTTTTTATAAATGTCCAAAGTATAAAAACTGTAAACCGTAAAACTATATTTTTGTAGTTTAAACTATAGAAAACAACATCCTCACCTGACCCACTCTGGAGATGTGAGTGTTATTCCAAGTGTTGTTGTCAACCAGAATCGTTCGATTGGCCATCGCTGTTATTTGATACCCATAATCCCACCATGACATGACTTTAGCATCCTGTGCACACACAAAAGTAATATGAGATAAGCAAAAATGCTTGGAATCAAAAGAAGCAGGAAGTTTATGAGGGTCAGCAAGCATCATGACGGATCTCACTGACCTCCGGTGTGTTGTGTCTGAGCCAGTAATACGCCTCTCTGAAGTCATCGAAGATGATGCGGCTGCCGTCACCACCGCGAGCGGAAAGCACAATAGACGGGGAGGAGTATGCCTCGCTGGTCACCCAGGTGGAGTGGAAGGTGTATGTGATGAGGAAGAACGCCATTACCAGAATCATCCCACTTGCCACCTACGGACCAATAAGAGCCCAGCATGAACCAATGATGTAAGGAAAACTAAGAAAGATCAAGAGCATTGATCGTACCTCGTTTTTGATAGGGTAAGTGGAGTCCTGCTGCTTTTTGGACTTCTTGTCCGGTCGGCTGACATCCAGGTTCTTCATGTAGGTGGTGAGGACCTGAGAAACGCCGATGCCTGACAGGATGCACATGACGGGAGCCAAGACTAACATGAGACGCACCTGAGCAGAACAGATAAAACTAGGGTCAGAGCTTCCTTTGTTAAAAGAAATGCTAATAAACTGACTTCAAATCTTGGCTAATATAAAGTAAAAGTGTTTTACCATCACAGCTGAGAAGTACATGCTGGTGACGCCATACATGATGATGAAAATCGTGGCATCGGAGAGGTTGTTAAAGCAGTAATAAAGGCCAACTGGAGAAACAAGAGATTACAGATTTAACACATCAGATGCAGATTATTTTAGCATTATTTATATACTATTATAGTATTTATTAATATTTTGAATTT